AAATCAATTCTCCCACAAAATAACAGATTAGATATAGTATTAAAAAGTACTCCAAAGGAAAATAAGTCCTTTTCAAAACAACAAATCAAAGCAAGTTTCAGTGTGTTTCTTCTTTTAACAGACTGCTTACTAATCAGCATATATCATTGCCAAACACAGTATTCTACATGGAAAAGAAAGAAGGTTCCACTACTCTTACTATATACTCCACTGGGTAAATCCAAATGTGAAATACTCTTTGAAGTCAGCAAGCAGTCTTTACTTCAAATAATTCTGAAGGGATTTAGAAGCCAGATAGGATTAAAGCTTTAAAAAAAAAAAAAAAAGCAGGGAGGGGTGGAATTAGCTCAACCTTAACTGTAAATAAAAGAAAACTTGGTGAGAAGGGAAGAAGAGAAACAGTGGTAAGGGTGGTTTATTTAGAATTAATAGGGAAAAAGGACCCTAAATACAGACTCACTAATCAGAGTATGCAAGAAAGGACCTGTGAAAAATATCTTTAAAACTAAAACTGAATAACCTCATGAATTTAGGTGCTTTGAAAAAATATTTTTAAATCAAGTATTTGTAATCCCAATCAATCTGACATTTGATCTTTCTGATTCAAGCCAACCTCCCTCTTGCCCTAGTTACTGCAATGGCCTCTTAAATAATCTCCCTGCTTCTACTCTAGCCCTCCTAAGTGATTCTTTTAAAAGGTAGCTAATGTCCTCCTCTGCTCCAAACCCTCCCATGGTGTCCCATCTTGTTCTGAGTAAAAGCCCAACTCCTGACAATGGCCTACAAAGTCCTATATAATTTGGCTCTAACTTCATCTTCTACTCTTCTGCCCCCTTGTGTAATCCATTCCAGCAATGCTGACCTTCTGGCTGTTCCTTTAGTACACTAGGCACAGTTCTTCTCAGGGACCTAGCTGGCACTTGATTGTTCCTTCTGCCTGTCAAGTTCTCCCAGGTACCAGCATGCTCACATACTTACTTTCTTCAGGATTGTGTTAGGTAGGCCTTTCCTTACCTACACTATTACAAATGCAAACTCCTCCAACCCTAAACACTCCAACCTTCTTCTCTACTTACTTTTCCTCCATAATTAATTTATCACCATCTAACATTTTAATATTTATTTTTTTAATCTTTCTTCCATCATAAGAACATAAGTTCCTTAAGAGCAAAGATTTGAGACTGTTTGCTCACTATATATCCCCAGTACTTAAAACAGAGTGTGAAACACAGTAGGTACTTAATTAATCTTTATGGGATGAAGAGATATAATTTCTGTCTATATTTTGTCAGATAAGTACTACCTTCACTGTAAGTATATACATGTCACTGTTCTATGATTCTTTATAGGGGCATGGAAGCTTTTCTTTTGAACTTCTTGGTTTATTGTTGATTAAACCGAGGACTGCCACAGACATGGTCTCTAAGCATCTGGAAAGACTTCCCCAAGACTTTTAGAGAAAAGACACAGTAATTTTCTCTATGTATAGATTGTTTGAAGATCAGCAATGAGGAGAATTTTTTTAGGTTTCACCCTCAATCCAGTTTTGAATTCATTTGCATTTATTTTAAATATTTTCTTAATATACAACTGTATTTTCCAGTTTTGCTTCTAGAAACTAGAATTAGAAAGAAAGGCGGATAAAATGATATAGGGAGAAGCAGAGAGTAAAAAAGGAGGAATGAAAGAAATCTAGCATAGGGAAATCAAGTAAGAACGTAAAAAGAATTTAACATTCTGCTACCGTTTCATTTTTTTGATTTCCAGGTGACTTGATCTGGTTCTTTTCTCCAGGCACTCACTACTTGAATATAAACAGATTTAGGAATGATTAAAAGATCGATGGTTGACTATCAGTTAACTCTACAGTAAAACAAGTATGGCTTCTTAACAATAAAATGTGTTCAGTCTTAGTATTTTTTGAATAATAATAAAAGCACGTGGTAATAAAAATTCAATTTATATAGGGAGGTCTAAGAAGAAAAGGCGAAGTCTCCTGCCTGTTCCCCTGCCACATCTAGTCTTTTTTCAACCACCGTTTAAAAAATCCTTTAGTAATTTTCCAGAAAGAAAAATTAAATGCATCTCCCTGCACAGATAGATGAATGTGTGTGGGGTGGGATGAGAGTAGGAGAGAACACATTTAAAATTTTATTCTAAAGGAATAACATCATACCTTCTACATGACAACTTACTTTTTTATTTTTAAAATACATTTGAGAGATCTTTCCATGTGCCTACATGGAAGCTCCATGAGTAAGGAAACTTTCTCTTTTAAATCACTCTATGTCCAGCGCTTAAAGGCCTCACATACTCTTTTCCACCAACAAAAATCTGTTAGGTAAATGAATGAATAAATCAGAAAATACAGATTAACTTCAGTGTTTTGAACAAAAGCATATTACATTATTTAAGTGCACCAGAAATATCCAGTCTACTACTGAAGATCATTTAAGAATATTTGAAGATTTTCTACTATTACTGTAGTAAACATTCCTGAAAATATTTGTTAAAACTTATCCATATGTATCTGTAAGTGAATCCAAGGCAATTACTTAGTAATGTAATAGTTCAGTCCACTGCATTTTTAACTCTTACAGATATTGCCAAGTAACACTCCTACCCAGTTGGAGGAATTTAAACGCTCATTACAATTTTTATTCTGGAGCAGATCACAAAACCTAAAGGTTAAAGACAGAAACACATATTCCTAAAAACTACATATTCTTTCATCTACAGCCATTTAATGAAAACTGTGTCAGATGAGATCTCAAAAAATTGAAAATCTTTTTGGCTTTGCTGAACACTGGGGACATCCTTTTTCTCAAAGATAAAAGTATTTGTTTGTACTGGTCGGCTTTTTGGAACTTGGCCAAAATTCATGGCTAACTGCTTCCTTTGTGTATTCTAATAAAATATAATTCTATTATTGTCATTTTGTAAAAGTTCCATAACTGCATCTTTGTTACATATAAATAACAATTCAAGAGCATGTAGATATCTTTGAGAAAGTATTTATACAAAGTAAACAGGTGGCAGTCCCCTAGAAGTGCTTGAAATTCTATCGCTCAGGCTCTCACATGGATTCCACTGCACACTGACATTAAAATAAGAAAAGTAACCTGTATGCAGAATGAAGGTTGTATTCACATTAACATTCATTAAGGCTGAGCAGCTGAAGCCCTACACATCAAGTAGGGAATACATCCTTTGTTTACTGATGAGAAAATGTCGCAGTGATAAATGGTTACAGACAGGGGTGTCACAAGGGCAAGAGCACACAGAACAGCTCTCGCAACCTTAAAAAAAAAAAATTGTGTTCCTCTCCTAAAGCTCTTTTTGTAGCATTGTGAAGCATAGTGCCTATCCCTTCGAAAAAAAAAGAAAAAGGAAAAAAAAGAAAGAAAAAGAAAAGAAAAAGGAATAATATTGCAATATAGAATTTCTAACTTTTACTGAGAGATGCTCTGACAATAATTTAAAACAAAGCTTCAAAGGCTTCATTACGTATATTCAGATATCATGAAAAGAAGTGCTATGCACCCTGCACCATGCCTGTTTCTAAAATGTATACTGTCATAAGAGAAAAGTGCAAAGTCCGTAACGTGAACACTGGGAGACATTAGGCACATTATTAAAATGTTTACTTACATAAATTCTAACACATTATTGTACTTTAGTAAATTTGTGAGAAAAACCATGTATGGAGTCATGAGTTTGTTGTTTAACAAACTAATATTTCATAGACCCCAAAAGTAACTACCAATGACTTTCAATCATTTTCAAAGCAAAATGAATTGCAATTTGTAGACAGCTTTGTCTCGAGAATAGAAAGCCTGAGAACCAGGGCTCGAGGGCAAACATTTCCCAGGGCCTGACTCTAGGTGGCTCACTTTCCTCATCTATAAACACAAAGGATGGAACAACTGTCCTCTGCAGCGCAGGGAGTTTTCTCCAGTGTTTTGGCTCTTCTGCATGTCTAGAGGCTTCTGTATGAAGAATAGTAAGACTTGTACAATATTCTAAAACATAGATGTCAACGCCGTACTTTCGGGGTCATTCCCCATCCTACAGAAACCTCCAAATGCAGTACAAAAAGAAATGCACAACAGCCCCAACAAATCCTCAGCGCCTCCCGGACTCAGTGCTTTCTAGATAGTTTTGCTAGTGCTGCGTGGACAAAGGACAAAGGCATAGACAGCAGGTCGCCCTTGGTCGCTGGGTTAGCCTGAGGTCTTGGAACGAGGAACTAACTCTTCTCCTGGAAAAACAAAGCCCCGCCAAAGGGGAGATCTTGACGCGATGACGCACGACAGGTTTGCGGACGTGGCGGCGGCGCAAGGCCCGGAAGGCGCAGACGCTGACCGCCGCGGCAACTCCTGTAGAGGCGGCAGTGGGGGAGGAAGAGGACGGGGCAGCCAGAAACGGAGGCTCTGCCATGAACTTACCCGGAACGGTCGCGCCGGCGGACCTGGCAGCCGCCTCCTCGTTGTGTCCCCCTTGCTAACGGGACAGGTAAAGATGGCGGCGAGAGGTGGGGAGTGGCTCCGTCCGGCACGGCGGGGCTGAGCCCCAGCGGTTCTCTCGCTGGAGGCGACGCGGGGCCTTTGGCCGCAGGTGTGGCGAGGGCAGCTGGAAGAGTCCCCGAGGTAGAGGGACCCCGAGGCTTACCCCAGCAGAGGCCCT